AGTCGGGGTGTATGCCTAAGCCTTGAGACTTGAGCCAAGAAGTCTTGAGCCAGGGGGCCTAGTTGGGTTTAGGATAAAACGTGCCATCTGCATGCAATAACCGAGGCCACGGCAAACTCCGATGCCCAAAGCACCGAGACCAAGCTGTAGCCCCGCTTGCTCCAAAGGTCACCGATGTACTTGAACACGGGTATCTCAAAGGAGCACATGACCTTATCCAATCTGTGAAGCTGAGATCTGTGAGCCTAAAAAGAGCGACCCTATTGCAAACACATGCCTGGCATCAACCACACCAATACCCGAAACATCCCGAAATCCTGAAGCAATACAAGCGCGCCGCCGCAGTGGCTGCCCCGAGGATTACTCTTGGAACGTTGTCGAAATCCTGCACAAGGAAAACCTCAGCAAGTGAGCAACTGAGCACATCAAAGGCATCATCGCAAGCAAGCAAAAACAAACCTGCTGGACGCCTACATCGCTGTCCTTGTCACGCATGTGCTGTTGCTGACCGTGTGCGATCGAGCAGCATTCAAGTAGTTCTCCACCAAAGAGGTCAGGAGACCATACACGAGCAAGTTGATCAGCATCCAGATGGGCTCGAATCTGGCAAGGTCGGCAAGCCACTCACGGGTCGACATCTTGTTCACGCTGCTGCCTTGCCCCCGGGGCCCCGCGGGGATATCCTGCACGAAAAGCTGCACCACGAGGACGTTCAGGCCGACCAATATGCCGTAAGAGAGGAAGATCGCATTAGTTCCGAAAACATCGATCAGCTTTCCGGCAATCAAGGCCATGGCTCCCCAGCCGACAGCACTCCAGAGTCGTTGATCTCCGTAGGCCTCCGAAGAGCCTTCCTTCGACCTGCGGCGCTCCCCCGAAACCGGTTCTTATCTGGACAGGTCGGGGATATGGCTTTGGGCGTTTTATCCCGCAACAGGGCCTCTGGGCCAAGACCTTCAGACACAAGCCATCCACGATGGGACCGGCCGGGGCTGTCACGAATCCCTGGAGCAGTGTGACCACCACCAGTAAGGGAAGGCTCCGGCCGACTGCCGGAAGCATGTAGGAAAAAACAGTCGCTATGCCGAGCGAGCTTGTGAAGGTGAGTATGTTTCGGTAGGAACCAGATCGGTCCACGATCGAAGACCAGAAGAATCCTCCGACAAAGGCCATCATTGGAACCATCACCAACAGCAAGCCCATCACTTTGCGGCTTAAGCCCAGGTCGTGGTAGTACACGGTGATGAACCGAGTCAGGCATACGTTTGCGCCAAAGAGAAGCATTTGAGTGATTTTGAGTACCCAGAGAGGTGTGACTTTGACACGCCCCTGGCACTTTGGATCAGCACTCCTGCAGCAAGAATGAAGCTTGTGGGGCCGTTGCCAAAGCTACACTTGAAGGCCCTACAAAGACGAATCCTAAGCTCAAGACTCCAAAGAACCAAGTTTGGACGAGAATCTGCTTTGGAGACTCCGCAGAGGTGTGGCACGCAGTCCGAGGACGAGCTGGTGCTTGTAGCAACTTCGGGCCCACACAGCTTCCAAGGCGGCCAGAGACAAAGGCCTTAGCGCCGTGAAGAGCTCGCTCAGGGTTTAGGGTTTCGACCCTCGCACCTAGGCAAACTGGGCGAGGCTGCGTTGCAGGCAAGTCTGATGCGGGACATGCACAAGCAGAGAAGCGGCAGACAGCTTTCATGAGTCCCTATCTGTACGGGGTCTTACTGGGGCTATTATTTCCAGCGCAACCGTGCGGTGCCACAATCTACAACGCCCCGTGTCCCAAAGCAACCACAGAACCGGGACCTAACAGCAACCCGGCAGTTTAGCTTAGCGGTAGGCTTCAGTGAAACCGCAGACACGGGCAAAAAATCTACTGCAGCCGCCGCGCAGACCGGGCAACTACGACGTTATCACACTTAAGGTCCCTTGCATACATGACCAATCCCCGGCTATCCTCTTTCCTGCTCAGGATTATGCACTGGGGGCTTGCAAGCACTATATATCTTGTCACGAGTATACCTTTCTTGTGGACTTGACAATCAAAAACGAAATCCAGGTATTCCAGGGCTTCCGATCCCTCCACAGAGTCAGAGCTCTCCCTTCTGCTGGCAAGTGCTGTAGGTGACGACTTTTTCAAGCAAGGTGCGATGGTGCCACGGTGCAGCGGCACATTTCTGACATCGCTGAGTGCCAGGGAGCCGAGCAGACAGAGCCCTCCCAGCAACACGAGTCCCCTGAGCCGCCCCGAAGGCTTCGAGGCCACCATGGCTCCAAGGAGCGAAGTCTGCACAGAAAGTTGAAGATAGCCAGGCTATGGACTGCAGCATAATTACTACGGTATCGAAAAATACCATAATATCATAGTATGATATGGGAATATTCCACAATATGCTACATGGCTATATAACAACAAGGATAGAATACGTACTTAATAGGGTGTAGCCTTGCTTGAAGCATAAGAAAGAGAGCGCCCGTGTGGTTGTGACCATCTAACATATAAGACTTTGGCACTCGTGATTACAAACTGCAGGCATCCAAAATCAGAAAGGCGGAAAGCCCCAGCAATCGGCTGCGGAGCATGGGTAGTTGCCAAAATTATGGACCCTTTTGGGGTGCCCTAAATAATCGGTGCCGTATTATAATAAGGACCCAAAAAGGGACCATAATTTTGACAACCACCCATGTGCACACCTGTCCTCCGGCAGAGCATCCTCCAAATCGTCATCCTGTGCAAGGCGTTCCAGCAATCCAGCCGATCTGAGATCTGCGAGCGCTTGCCAAGGAACGAGTGGACTGATTGGGTTGTGCTTAAACATCGCCCCTGCAACACCTTCTAGTATGCATGCCCCATGTACCTCAGCAAAGCTCATGGGGAATCTGTTAATTCTGCACGGTTATCCCATCGTTCGACACCATCTGCCACACTGACCCGATTGCATGGCCTGCGTTTCTGCTTCGCCGCTGGGTCCAATGATCCACTTGAGGTCGAGGACATTTCGAATGCCCTGTCACCCCGGCACATGGTGGCTTCTGACATGTCGTGCTAGTGGAAAACGCAACGCAAAGGGAAAATGAATCGTTACATGAATGCATGCCTGCCTGCCTGCATGCACGCATGCCAGCATGCATGCATGCATGCAGGCAAACATACCCGCATGCAGCAATGGATGCACATCAATTTGCAACACTTGCCTGTGCAATACTTCGTTATGCTCTGACGCTCTCTTCACCAGATCCCTTGCCCCGGCCTTCCTCGTCAAGAGGGCATGGTGGATGTCAGCAACCTCGAAACTTCTTACAACCTCTGTGTAAGTCCTGTGTGTCAGTCTCGACATATAGAAAGTCCAGCTTGTCCACTGAGCTCTTGACTAAACCTTGCTTGGAGGGAAGCAGCCGTTTGGTTGCGGCAGACTTCTTCCTAAGAGCTCGGGGATCTCAGAGCAAAGGAGTCTGCGTCCTCAATGGGTCGGCCTAAGGCCGAAGAGATGGGGAAAGTCTCATCAGTCCAGGGCTCGGCTCGGTGCTCTTCTTCGGGGTAGCCTGAAGTGCAATGAGCCCCGGGACCCACGGAAGACGAAGGGCCGACGGCGCGTTGTCCCTGCGCCTCAGATGCCTTGCGCATGAAGCGTCCCAGCAGGTCTTCCGGGAGTTGGGCGGCCTGAAAACGCAAACCAGAACGCAGATGGCACACTTGTAGTAGAGCAGGTTTGCTCGGTGCTTAGGTCGCAGCACCGCCCTGCAAAGAGTCGTGGACCTGCTGCCACACCTCGTTTGGACACGTCACGAGCTTCATAAGTCCTTGATGCCAACCCTTCTCGGAATCAGTACCCCAACAGGCTGCGCAAGTCGACTTCAGCTGCAGCTGTTAGTCCCATCCCCCAGCCGAGCACGGCGCGGAGCCCTGAATTCGGCTTGTCTGACGAATGGGCTGCCAGTTGACCATCTTAGCCATTGATTCGGCTTTCCACTCCCCCCACTGCGTTCGCATCAATGTGCACTGCTGACGCTCGTAGATAGGATGCCCACGCGCTCGGGCTGCCTGGAGTTCGACAAGGAGCTTCTTACACGAGTCTGAAAGCACAAAGGCTAGGCTTTGCTCGACTGCTGCGAAAGGCACCATTCTGCCGAGATATCGGGCTTTTGCCACGACGGCAATGGGGAGGATGCCTGCTCAGGAAAAGACTGACTTTCGTGCCACTAGCACGCGCTTGGGTCGATACATCCTATACAACGACTACTAGGACGTGCATGCTTTTGCTCTTGCTTACATACTGCACTGCATGCTAACATATCGTACCAGATACCTACATAGACTATGTTTGACTATATGGTACTAGTACATTGGCACATAAGTCGGCCTCTTTGGCTTTGCCGGCGCCTTTGGCCGGTGGTGGGCCTTTGCCAGGGCCTTTGCCCTTGCCTTTCTTTGGTGCCTGCCGGACGATGCAGGGGCCCGCGGCGGCGGGGGAGGGTTCTCATGGGTTTTTCGGGTTCTGCACTGACTGGCCTGGCCACCAGAGGCAGCCACCGCCGGAGAAGTCTCCTTGACATGGGATCTGTTCGTCCCTACTTTCACATTCCCAGGTATGGAGCGGGTTGTGTGTGATGGCTTGTACAGGTGTGTCATTTTGCGCCCCGTCTTCCATCTCTCGCAGCCAGTGCAGAGTTCTCTCGCGAACCCAGACCTTGTCGTCCATGGGGTCGCGGAAGCTTTGGGGCCATGCTCGGGAGTGCCAAAAGCAAGAAGTCTAAATGCTTGCACCAACTATATGAACCTATGAGTATAATGGCAAGAAAGCTGACAAGATTTAATCCGAACGACCTTGCCACTGCCACTTCTAGCATGTGCTGCGGTCCTCCAGAAACTTCACGCTGACGACCGCTAAAGATAGGAGGCTCTAAGCAAGTGATAGCTGCGCACGAGCACTTGCCTGTGGTCTCGTTGCACTCACTACGAGGGACTGGCGGCTTCAACCAATGCTGTGGTCATGCATCCCTGCCTTGCTCTTCTCTGGCATCGCAAGCATGGCTTTTGCTGCAAGCTGCAGCACAGAAGCCTGAGTTCTATGAGCATCTGCCGCCTTCGTCTGTGCTGCGAAGGCTCCGTCCTCCATGCGCTGGTTCCGCCTGTAGCGTTTCACCATGCTCAGGACTTCCGCCAGGGCCTGCAAGGATGCCTGGCACTCCAGGGGGTTTCAGCGCAACTTGGAAGACAAGACGGGAGGAGAGAAAGGGAGAGAGAGAGAGAGGGGAGAGAGAGAAAGAGGCAGAACACATCCCAAGTACGGAAACTGCTGCCGTGTGCACTGCTGCATCCCCCGCCGCCAGATGGACTTGAGCCTCGCAAAAAGCGGCATAATGCCTCACAGCCCCACGCAGCACAGATTGAGCTCCTGGCCAAGGCATACAAGCACTTCATTGCTCCAGACCTGATGCTTCAGGACACTGCTGCGGCACCGAACTCAAGTGAATCCACAGGCACAAAGCACGTTGGGGTTGAAGAGGGAGAAACGAACGACAGGAGTGGGACCGGGAACCCAGGCTTCCCTGGGCAACAAGATGTTAGAAGACAAGTCGTAGTCGTAGTTCAAATGTAGAGCATGCGACACCCCAATGTAATCGAAGGTCTTGCCAAACCTGCATATCTTATAACTGTACCTAGTGCCCTGGGACCTAGATGGCTGTCTAAATCCGTTCTGCAGGATCCGTCCTTTTGCCTTGTTTTGCTGCCGGGACTCAAGCCCTTAGCCCCTAAACTGCGCCCCCTAATTCGCGCCAAACATCTTTCAGCCTGTGCCTTCACAACGCTGCCCACGGAGAAGTCTCCCTGCCCTACATCCTTACCACAAGCCCTGGGCATGGGTAGCTCTCCAAACTGGGGTCCCTTTTAGGATCCGATTTACAAGGGTGCCGTACTATTTTGGTAACCGAAAACGGGAACCGGATTTAGAGTACTACCCAAATGAGACAGAAGCTGCAGGCGCGGACGAGTCGGCGATGTCCCAGTAGAGGCCAAGGGCCTGGTGCCTGTACTGTTCTTATCTGCACGTGCTTTCATATACAGATATACTGACACACGCCGCATCTGCATATATGCTACACACACAAATATATATATATATATATATATATGTGTGTGTGTGTGTGTATGCATGTATATGTAACATACACATACGTACCCACATACATACATACATACATACATACATACATACATACATACATACATACAGGCATAGACCTTACATGCATATACATACTGCTGGTGCCACTGCTGCTGCTTCTACTGCTGCTTCTACTGCTACTTCTACTGCTACTGCTATTGCGACTGCGACTACTACTACTACTACTACTACTACTACTACTACGACTACCACTACTACTGAAACCACCACCACCACCACCCCACCACCACCACAATGTGCAGGCAGGATTTGCCGCCCGTCGCCAAACACAGAAGGTTGCATTGCCTGAAACGACATTTTTCGACAGTGGCGTGGCGGGGGACGTTTTTCATCTCAAGCTCAGGCTGTCCTGATCTAGGCAAATGAGTGTTTGCAAGCGACGGCTCCACTGGGGGCTGGCTGTCGCTGCGTCATCGTCGCGTACAAGCTCATTCATGAGGGCAGACGAGTCACTACTCAATGATCTTCGTTCATCAGGTTTTGCGACACCCTCATCCGGATAGACTTTCACGAATTGCTTGTCCTCCCCTCGTCGAGCACTCTGGATGTGCGACGTCCGCAACGTAATGCAAATACCACAACTTACTAGCTACTAATTACTTTCTACGACGACGACAACAACTACTACTATTACGATTACGATTACGATTACTATTACCACTAATGCTACTGCTACTACTACTACTACTACTACTACTACTACGACTACGACTACGACTACGACTACGAGTACTACTACTGTTGTTGTTGCTGGTGCTGCAGCTGCTAATCACCAGAAGAGGAGCTCCACAGCAACCCGCTCTCCCAATAATGACTACCAATAAGAACAGTTTGACTGACTATTAACCGCTAACTGTTTCCTACGCATACTACCTATTCTGTATGATATATTGTATATGGTGCTTGTAGACCGTATATTGCGCATTAACTATTGCACACTTTCTGTTATACATCCTCTACTACATGTCAACAGGTTGCATGTGGCACATTATACTGCTGCTTCAGACATAGACGATACTGCGCAGCGTGTGAATGAAATGCGCACACACACACACACTCGCGCTCTCTCTGTCTCTCTGTATAGATGTGTATAAATGTACATATACACGTATATGTATGTATGTATGTATGTATGTATGTATGTATATATATGTATATGCACGTATAAACACATACTATGTATATATGTGTATTTATATATTCACATATTTTGTACTAACGCAAACAAATAACAATGCGGACAATGTCTATACGCCTAGTAGCGATAACAAGTAACATAATGATTGTTAGAATCTACCTACGTTGTGTTTTGAAGCACGTCGCTTGCTGAGATTAATGCCCTCGAATCATACCCAGCCCCATGCATGCCGTCAACAGGGGCAAACACAGGAATCTTTGAGGGAGGCACAGCGTGGCAAGAGCCTCGTCTCGACCTTGGGCATCAACCGAGAACTTCTCCAGCGCTAGATGAAGAAACTCAACTCCTCTCATCCTGTTGATGCTGGCGGTAGGAGCGCTATGCGAGGACTTCTGCACTGTAGTTTAAACGCAAACGTATTCATGAATCCATACCTCTGCAGACCATGACAGGAATGGACAATTCCTACAGTGCCACCTAGTCATCCAAAGAGCGCCCAAGCAGAGAGTCAAAGCAACTTCTGCTACAGGCAGCCCGGCGTCCGGAGTCGCGGAGTGCGCGGAAGCAGTAGAATAGGGCCGTCGCCTGATAAACGGCTTCAACGTTTGACACCGGCATTCACTCTATCATCCTATGTCATGCAGTATTATCTTGCCATATCATGATGACATTACTATATGCATTTATATACACATAATTATTTGTCTTACTTACTTGGAATGTATGTGCATAGAAAAATATTAACGCCCAAATTTACCGGCTTATCATTGCCCTATCCATCCATCCATTTGGCTTATGTTGTGCTACAAGATATTGCATTACACTCTCCATTGCTACTGCTGAGGCTGCTTAGGCCTAGGCTTCTAATCTGGAGCCCGTGGGAAAGTCTTCGTCCATTTTCCATTTGACTTGGGCACAAGCCCGCCCTAAACCCTCCAATTTCCGAGCCCACGAACATTGCACACCTGGGCACGACGGGAAAACGCCTAGGAAATGAGCTCTGCCCCTGCCATTTCTTCAAAGTGTTCCACTCCCCCAATTTCACTGGTCAAGATCCGGCGATTTCCCTTCATCTACAGCCCTTAATAATAGGATCCCTAACATAAACCAAAACGTGATCCCCAGTTGTAAGAAGCCCTCAAAACAGCCTCGCCCGCCACGTCGCCGCTCTCTCTGCTCTCGGTGGCCAACCGGGATGCTTCGTGCAGGGCCTAGGTTGCAAGGGCAAAGCTTCACTGTGTTTTTTTTTTATCGTATCTTATATTATATAACTGTATTGTTTATCATCGCATAGTAATTTTCTTATTGAGTTGTTTTGCTTCATATTCTGCTACATTATGTTATGTTAGCCTACGACTTGCAGCCGCTGCCACCCCAAGCTGTGCTTGGATTTCTATGTATCAGAACCCTCGGGCGTCGGCGTTATAAAAAGAAAGGGGTTAAGGCATCAGGGTCTCAAGGATCTCCAGTGTTGACTTGTAGGAGAAGCCAGGGCTCCTGGCATCCTGCAGCCTTCCGCTCGCAATCTGTGCATCCTGCGTCAACCACAGAAGCTGGGCGCTGGCTCTTCGTGTCGAAACAGATCCTCACGAGGGTACTCAGGTTGAGGCGGTCAGAAGCAGCCGTGCAGCTGCTTCTGTGTTGGCCTCAAAGTGCAAACACGAACTTACAGGAGGCCCACGACGTCGGAAAACCCCCTGCAATTGATCGAATGTTGCCCCGCGCTACGTCGAGGAGCATGTGATGCACTTCCAAGTCCCGGACGTCTTGAAGCCCAGCTGACAGCTCTTGTGCCTGCGCTGGCTGACCCGGAGTCTGCATTGCATCTTGCAGTGCATGTTGCTGACGTTTCAGAAATCTGATCCCTGGATCTCTGTCCATGGTACACTGCCTCCTTGGCTTGCTGCAGCGCCGCAGAGATGCCAGAGGAAGATGCAGCTGCCAAGTTGGCCCTGAACGACCGGCATGCGAATCTTGGATTCGAGCAATTTCTTGACTCCGCTTGGTAGTAGTAGTAGTAGTAGTAGTAGTAGTAGTAGTAGGAGTAGTAGTAGTAGTAGCAGTTGTATGGCATGCATGAGCTGAGGGAACTGCCGAGGGAGGGTTGCACACTTCTTTTCAAGCCACATGGTAAGCTGGGAGCTCTGACGACAAGCACCCTTGCAGAGGCTTCATACAGGGCTCAGCCGATGTATGGCATACATACGGGAAGAGATTCCCACTGCGGCGTCAAACGGACAGCTGTCGAAAGCTCGATAATGCTTGCTTCATGCCTAGAGAAGCGAGGGGCGCCAGAACTGATGAGACCGCAGGATGGCAATCTCGCCGTTTTTTATTCGCCCACATCCCTTGGAGGAGAGGCCTGATAGGTAACAGAGTCGGCACCACTGAGACATGGATGTTGGCTCTGGCCAGCTAAGCATGAGCCCCGACCTAAATTACGTTCAATCCATATCCAAGAAACAAGAACCGCCCCGCCATTTAGGTCCATGGCGAAACCTACGAAACCAACGTCTGAGACTGAGAATCGAATCATTCAGGAAGGGTCTCATGTACTCCCTTTGCAAGTTCTTGCAAGGAGATGATGCGGGCTTCAAGCTCTCGCAACTCGGACTCTGCCAGACGAGGTCTCTGTGTCATGCCAACTCGACTACCCTCTGAAGCTGCAATCACCTTTACACCACGCAAAACAAACTAAAGAAGTAAGAAGATCTGATGAGAAGCTCCTTTCATTCAAGGCTCCTTTCAAGCTTCCTTGAAGTTTCTTTTCAAGGTTCCTCGAAAGCCTCCTGTAAGGATGGTTGCAGCGATCGAGGTGTGAGTTATAATTCGTCAGAACTTGAGCAAGATGCTCTGAGCGGAATACAAGCCTCCGCCACCTAAATGGAACTGTGTGAGTTGGCAAGCCGCAAAAAAGCATGCGTGAGCCCTGCCAGCTGCATGGCTGAACTGAATTTCGATGGTGACAAGACAATGAGAGCGGTTGAAGTGCCAACGCAAAGGCCACACGGAGGCTTCGCCTCCAACATAGGAGCTTAAGAAAATAACGCAAGTAAAATCTTTCTTGTCAGGAGCCCTAATGGAGGTGCCCCTTATCACAAGAATCCCAAAATCAAGCACGCTCCGCAACAGGAGCAACAACGCTGCGATTGCTGGGCAAAAACAGTACGACACGCTCGGAGTCTAACAGAAGGGATCTGGGCTTTTCACTGCCCAGAAGTTGAGAGGCACTAGTCCAGAACTCTCGTCCGACTGCCGAGCTTCGGCTTCCAATTTGGGGTTCAAGGCTTTGGTGGAAGCTTTCCCAATCAAGAGTTCATGGTTTGTGACATTTTTGGCATGTGTTGGACGTAGCTGGGAGTCGCTGAAAGTGAGTTCCAGCGCGTGTTGAATTCAGCAATGCATGCAAAGTCTCGGGCTCAACGTGGGCAAGGCAGGCAAGGCAGCAGGAAACTGAGCCAGTTCCTGGACCTCCCCCTCCAGTAGTCCTGGAGCTTCAACTGCCTTCCCGTGTCCACGAACTGCTTGAAGAACATCTGCAGGAAGGCCACCATGTCTTTTGGGCCCTCGTCCATCTCCTTCTCAATGATAGCCGCTACCTTCTTGGCTTTGTTGCAGATCTCTGGCGTCCGCAGACACTTCAAGACCGCCTCGGAGACGTCGGAAGGCTCGAGCTTGTGCATGGCTGCCAAGCCCACTCCATTGCCTCGCTCGTTGACGTCATCCGAATGTGCAAACTGGTCGAAGCAGACAGGCAGGATCACCGTCGGCACTCCAGACGTCAGGGAGGCATTCGTGGTACCCGTGCCCCCGTGGTGGACGATGACGCAGCAGCGCGGGAAGAGCGATCCGTGTTGAGCATATTTCACAAAGAGAGCATTCTTCTGGCTGTAAGACTTAAGCTCTTCTGCATCCGGCTCCCCGTCCACCAGATCCAGCGACATCTCCGACCACCCGGCGCAGAAAACCCCCCGGAGGCCAGTCAGGCGGAGAGCGCGCAGGCACAGGAGGGTCATAAACTTGGAGCTTGTGCCGATCATGGAGCCAAAGTAGACTGGGGGCTCCCCAGCTGCCAAGAAGTCTTCGACTGCGTTTGACATCTCGGATCCAAAGTCAGGGCCGACCTGCATGGCATTCTCGGCAACCATCGGCCCGACGCGGATGATGGTGCTGCTGAAATCCGCTGGCACGGCCCGGTGCAATGATGACTCGGTAACCACGTGATCTGATAGAACTTGCCGTCATTGCCAATCATATCGAAGCAGTCTTGCAAGTTGGGCGCAAAATCAGCCAACGGCCTTTGGAAGATCTTTTCCCAAACAGGTCCCTGTTGTGTCTTCCACTTCCGCAAACAGACTGTGGCAAAAACATACCAGCCCAGGCTTGCACGGAATTCCAGGCCGAGTTGATAGCGGCGCCAAGGCGATGGAGCTGCTGGCAACAGTTCCAGTTTGCAGGCTGACTTGGATGCGAGGTATCCGCAGAATCACACTTATGGCATACATATTGCAGGCCGCGAGGAGGGAGTGCAGGAGCAACTCAGGCTTGAACTGCAGCGCTGCCTCATGGATCGCCTCGCATTGCTTGAAAAGCCAGCCTTCTGGACGACATTCGTTCTCCACCTCTGCCATCTGACCAATGTTCTGAGTCACCATGCTGTCGACGAACTTGTGGCTAGTCGCGGTCTTCTTTGCGCCCCACTGCATCACTTTGAAGGGGACGCCGAAAGCTTCTGCCAGGTCTGTTGCCTCCTCACAGCCAAGCGCCAGAACGTCAAATCCGGAACGGATGAGTTCTCTGGCCATGACCAGGTATGGCTGGTTGTCTCCGCGACTGCCGTCGAAAGCGATCATTATGCGACGGCCCATGGCGCTGTCACTTTGCGGTTGTCTGGTCGCTGAAAGGTTGGGGAAGGAGCCCGATGACTTGAGCCAAAGCCAAAATGTGACACCGACTGCCAGCTCTTGGCTCAGGCACAATCGCTCCAGCTGGGGATTTCTTCTGGCAGTACGACTGCAGACGAACCCCATCTGTGTGCTGTGGATCGGACTTAACTAAATCAAACGGTGTGATGCCAGCTAAAGATTATCGCCCGGCAGGGTAAAAGGGGACTCACCTCCGAGACAATTCAAGCCATCGTGGGAATTCGTTGGATCCGACTTTCCTTCCTTTGCCACTTCGATGGTCCCCGCCGCAAAGTCGATCGAATCCTCGAAGACTTGCCACACCCCACTGCCGTCGTTGAAGGTGCAATAGAGCGAAGTGCCCAATTGCCATTGTGCACCCGAAGCGACGTGATTCGGAGGAAGAGTATTCCCAGTCTCTACGTAATTGCCGTTCACGGGGTTGAATCCGGCAGAAAAGCCTGTGCCACCTGCAGGGCAATCGATGCGCGCCAGTTGGTTGTTGGAGACTTGGTCATGCTCAATGCAGTAGATGAAGTTCGAACCGGGCTTCATTCCGCAGCCATTGAAGCATTTGTCTGGGATCGTGTAAAGAGTGCTGTAAGCTCCGGAGCTAACATCCAGCTCCTTGATGTCTGAACCGCCCGGGCACTGTTCCCCGTACGGTCCAGTTGCCATACGGTATATTCAAAGTGTAGTCCTAGGATGTCGCGGCTATCCGTTTTCGCAATGCAACTTCATGTGTACCTCAATGCAGCAGGTGCGGTGGCCTGGCTGCAGCGAGGAGGGCGGAAGCCAGCTGACTGGCCCCGTCCTGGCAAACATGAGCTTACTTCTGTTTTCCGGATTGCTGCACTAGGATACAAAAGGTGGAATTGACGGAACTTCCTGTACTTGTTTCATCACCCACCGTTTGCATAATACCTTTCACAAACCTCGTCGTCGTCACGCCATGTCACCATTGCCAAGGCACCTGGTCACCGTCATCACGAGAACATCAGTAAAAATCACGCGCATATGTAGGTATGCATGCATGCATACCCCCCACACACACATGCATACATAGGTATGTGTGTAGGAATGTATGTGTTCAACAGGCACAGTCCGTTTCCTAAATGGCTTATTATGCGGATGCATGGGCGAAGCGGTACTTTTTGTCCGGTAGCGGTAGCAAGAAAAGCTTCGGACGGTGTTCGTTCTCGGCGGCACAGGTCAGCTACGGGGAGAGGAACACCGGATCCGGATACGGAGAGAACTGCTGCCGCATCCTCCGGCTGTAAAGCCTGTCAACAGTCCAACGACAGACCGGAGGGAAGGCAAAGTGGCGGACGTCAGGGGACGGGGGTACAGAAAAACTGTGGGAAACGGAAACGGTCCCGCTCGAGCCCAATGTCTCAGAGACGGGTCCGTTGCGTGCCTTATTAAACACAGCTGGGTAACATGTACGCATGTGTCCATATGTATGTGTGTGTGTATATATATATATATGTATACATGTTCATATGCTCGCCCCCAAGATCTACAGCAGTGGTGGTTGTTGGGTGCGTGGCGCGCACGGGCGCACAAAACTTTGTATGGAAGCAACCTGTAGAGTCGATTGGAACAGGTGCGGGTAGATCTTGGGGGGGTGGGGTGGGGTGACCATTTTTTTGCCTCCTGCATGGCTGAGCGAGTCGCATATATATATATATATATATATACATATCCATACACTGTGTGCGCCTCCTTACGACACTGCTTGTCTTCCTTCATCGGTATGGATCGGTATGGTGGCAATCATCGCCAGCATCACTGTTATCGCCAACCATCACCATCATAACACGGCCACCATCATTGTGGCCACTTTCCCACCAGACCACTGCCGCCACTTCGCAGAGCGACTGCGACCCTCCTTGTCGAGCTGCCGGCAAACGCCTAGGGCCTCACATGCAGGCTGAGGCACGTCTCTCAACTTGTCAGACAGTGCACCTCGTGTGTCAGGTTGTTTTGCCGAGGATATCACAGTATCGGCTGCCTGTTGCGCCTTTGACCTGGGCTGGTCCACTGCTGGAGCACGTGCTTGCAATGCCAGATGGCTGTCGACCGCAACGGCGCAATGATGCCTTGAACAGGATGCAGATGATGACGGGTGCTAGCCAAGGCCAGTACAAGCTCCCTACGTCCAGGTGGACAGTCACGCCTGCAATCAACCTGAACTTGACAAAACTGTACAGGAGTACTGAAAGAGTCTAGTTTGCTTTTCGTAGCAGAGCGAGATGTCTCTCAGGCACGCTCATTTCAGCCAAAGCCGTGTGCTCCTTCGCCTTGCGAAACCTGATGGCTGCCTGCACAAACTACCGCTTGACTCGGCGAGTCAAGGCTGACTGCTGGCCTCCCCGAGCATTTCGAGAGCTTCCTCGTGGTGGCTTGCAGACACCTTGGTGGCATCCCGGAGAGGCATGGAGGGAGGTGCCGCTGTGCAAGCAGGTATTTAACTGAGGCAGGCACTAGCTGGTCCGCCAGCACGGTCAACCTTGCAAAAAACATGCAGAAAGACTGCCGACGTGCATCGAGTTGACTTGTGCTGGTCCTTCTCGGATCATGTAACAATAAAGTCGGCTCCTGGCCTCCCTCCCGTCCACCCTCTTGGTGACTGGAAGTAGGGAGAAGCGAAGGTTGCTCAAACAGTCTTTTCAACAGCATTGTATGCAATGCCTCTCTGCTCCTGGGCTAAGCTCCGCACGCCTTTGCTTCGCCTGCGCTGTCGCACTTTTCTCGCAGGAGCGAGGCTGCCTCGGCTCTGTGGTTTCACTGCCTGGGATTTAGGGTGTCAGAGCTCGCAACTCGGACGATCCAGCCGAGGTCTTGAGTCCGGTTAAGTGAGACAAGAATGACCCAACTACGACAACAACGGCCGTGGTTTGACTGCTACTGCCCTGACCTGCTCTCACTTAGTCCCACGCATTCTTCGCAGCCAGCTGAGCCACATCCTCGGTGACGGTGCCAACCGGAAAAAGCACTCCGATATTGAAAACACTGCAGCAGCCTTGTTGCAGCGCCAAGGCCTGCACGGTGCGTCCCTTCAATGTCTCCACCTTGGCGACCTTGTATGGTAAAGTGGACGATGCCGCCGATGCCACACTCGTTCCTATGTGGTTTTTGTCAGGTTTGGCAAGAGCTGAGTCCGCAGCAACCTCCAGCAGAACCCTTGCTTCGCCTCTGTGATCCTGAGGCTGTAAAATGCACACCGAAGCTGCTGTTACCAAGCCGCCCATGCTCCTGCATTCAACCCGAGAAACCCGCCACCAGGCAAGTTCGAAGTTTATACGACTCAGCTCTGAAGATTCATGCAACCACGTAAATTCCAGGGAACTAGAGCATGTCCCCACCCCGAGTTTCAGATGCAGTGCAACTGGCATGTATCAAGAAAGTTGGCATGAATGCGCACGGATGTCAGTCAGGCGAATGCAAACAGCCATTTCATGCCTAGACGGCTCCTTCAAGCGCTTGAAGATCAATTCGGCTGCTTGGCCGGCCTCTGTAGCCTCGATGACCTGGAAGAAGCGCATGACACCCATAGCTGCATAACGTACTGTAATGTCTTAGACCATACTAGAAATATGTACACATGTGCATATGTACATACACATGTACCTGCGTATACGCACACATACAAATATACATATGTATATATATATATATATGAAAGAACCATTCACGAGCACCTATGCAGACCCCCGAGGCCAAACTGCACACCACACAGTCGCAGCAACATATGCATGACACACGATTTCGATTTTTGCCAGCTTCGATACCCCTGCAGCCTCTCGCCTGGCCAGGACATGCCCGCAACGGATTTCCACCACATTGACAAGGCCCTGACTGCCTCATAGCTAGGACTTTCTAAGTCCGGCGATTGGATGGCCAGAATCAATACGGGACGGCGGTGGGAGCACGATTTCCACTCACAAATCCAACAAAGTTCGCACGACAATGACACTGTCCAAGTTGGTGTGGCGGGCGACTGTGGAAGTTGTGTTACTTCAGTCCAAGCAAGTCGAAGCTGCTCACCACGCCAAGGCAAGTCCTCTGACTCTGAACGAATGAACGCCATAGAGTTACCACACTGTTTGGAGAACATATGCACGAAGAGTCAAGATGAGTCAAGATAATTGCCATGATGACTGTAATCTATCTTTATCGTTCCTTGACAGCAAGAAGTATAGTTACTCTCTGTCATCCTATAGACACATGCCTCGCGATTTCATCAATGTTCGCAAAACTACTTTCTATGCTTTGTTTTTGTCTGGCATGTTCATGCTCATTCCAAGACGCGATTTGTACATGCATGTAAAAAAAGACAGCGTGTGAGACAGCAGGACAAACATCCATTCAGGCTTCCCGACCTCGTCCAAAGCCAGGCTGAGCTCAGCTATCTCGCAAAGGCTACTCGCAACCTTTGTGAGCACAAACCGTCTGCGCTCAAAGTGAGCACTACCTGTTCAGGGACCGCCAGCCTGGCCTGCGGGAGCATTTGCATCTGGCGGTAGAGCTCCAAACGCCGCCGTGCAAAACCTTTGTAGTTGGAGATGGGCCAACAGTCAAACAGTCCCGAAAATGCTCAAATCACCGAGGGCCGAGCGCATTGCTTCTGCTTCGTTCCGCCGTCTCCGCAGAGCACAAATGGTCCAGGACAGGAAGTCCTCACAGCTGTCGCACAAAGTTCATCACGTCTTCAAGCCCCCGATGGCTTGAATTGCACTTGCTCAGGCAAGTCGCTAATTCCCCTTCCCGGTCGCGGCGCTCTTGAAGCAACTGACGTGCCTCTCTGCACTTCGACGCAACTGCAAGCAAGAGCAGGGTAGCCGGACATCTTCCTGGCCTCGTCTGCTGCCCGGAGGCCTTCTTCCAGTCGACGCGTGCTCCATGCCAGCTGCGCCGCCTCTCGGAGAGCAGTCACAGCCGCCTCCGTCTGGACATCGCCTCCCGACTTGGATCGTAGACATCTCGGAGCTTCAGCTGCCATCTTCTGTCTGGTGCTTAGTAGGGAATGTGGGAATGGATCCCTATGATAGTCGCTTAAGGTCCCTTACAGTAGTCCCTACAACCCATTCCCCCATTCCCTACTAAGCACCACACAGACTTTCCGAGGGCTCGGCCATGCTTGCGGAAGCGCTGCAAGGAGACCTCGGCCTCCGCCGTCTTCAGCTCCGGGGCGATTTGAAGGGCTCCGACTCCCAAGTGAGGACTGCCATGCACAGCGGCGGTCATCCAAGGCTGGTGCTGGCTTTCGACTTAGAAGTGTTAGATTGAAGATGCTGCATACCCCTGGAATTTGCATTGTGTTCAAGATGGATTGGAACTTGCCTGGCATATGCTCGGCATTGTCATACGTGTTGCTTTGACCCCCAAGAAGTACTGCAGAAATTTCTTCCATTGCAGCATGCAGCGGCCATGCTCTAGCCTATCTGAAGACGCAGAAGTATCAAGGAAGCTTTTTGAACTCTGTGCTTTTGACTGTCGGTTTTGGAGGTGGCACGTTTCTTCAGCCCGTGTGGGCTGTGCCGGGGCGAATATATACATGGAGAATGACAGGGAAGTGCGCTTTGTGCTTCAAAGCACTTCATCACCGCTACGTGGCCCAACAAGGGCTGGCCAGGCAAGCTTTCTAGGGCAAAGTTCGCTCTAGCAAGTTTCGATCACCCTTCATGCCTTCTACTGGTACATGTGCTGCCAGTATCATCAGGTAATGTGATAGAAACTATAGGAGATACTTCAAGATACTACATGCTTCTAAGAAGTCTGATGCTCTTCGGCCACACCAGCTCATCGAGGCATAATGCCCTCGCGCATGCCACGGCCCCTGGCAATGGCGGGTGCATCCTACGATTGCTTAGGGAAACTTCCAGAAAACCACAGCTGAAGAGGCCTCTGCCTTTCCTTGAACTCCTTGGTCGTTGTGTCCGCATGGTACCATGATATCAGGACATCCCATGCAAAGATGTACCGTCCTTGGACTTCTTCATCTCCTCGGCCTCCTTCAAATCTCGCTGAATCACCCTGGCACCCAGGACCAACATGCTCAACATCATAAGATACTATCATATATACTATGAGATACTATAAGATACTAAGATATTCTATGAGAGACTATAAGAAGCTATTATGATATATACTATAAGATACTACAAGATACTGAAATAGCGGCCGCACAAGCACAAAGCTTCGCTGCAGCCAAGGGACCACTCCGGTCTGGGCCTGGCTTTCGCGGCTTCGATGTCCACGGGTTCATCCTCAGCTCGAGATCTGTATTTTTATATCGATAGTATATTATCGTATATTAGAGTATATTGTAGTATGGGACCGTATCGCTCTTTATATTGTGCACCATTGGAGCTTCACAGACTCTTCGAGCGGCCTTTGGGTCTGGGAGAATGAACTTCACGATAAACGCAGCCGCCTTGGTGTCAAGCGTGACAAAAAGGATGTTTCTGAACAGGAGAGGGCTCTCTCTCCCTCTCTCCCGCATTTTTTTTGGCTCCGGCATTCTCGCGCATGCAAGGCTCCTTGTTACTTGTTAGAGGCTTTCATCTTTCGGAGCCACAGTGTCGGTGCTCATGACATACAGGTCTCCGCAAGGGGAGCTGCGCGTCAAGGAAGCCTAGTGCAGTAGGAAGCCTTGTGCTGTGGCCGACAAGCCCATCCCAATACTGTTGTCCAGAAGTGAAGATATCCATCTATTCAGGGCCACACAGAGTCCATCTGCAGGTTCTTGCAACGAGATGATTTTACACTGCTGCACTGAACGAATCACTCCGATCTTTGCATGGCTCTCATTCGGACATAACAAAATGGCAGTTGGAAGCCGACGTCGTCATGCCAGTAGTAACTTACTGTAGCATTGTTGGTGTTGATTCATGTTTGCAACGGCAGCAGGAGCACCAAGTAGTAGGAGCACTATGAAGAGGATCTGAGCAATCAAGATGCCGGCAAGTACTGTGAATGCCAGTGGCAACATGGCCGGCGACGAAAACGGTACAATCGCATCCGCAGTAACGGGCGGAACAACTCCATTGGACAACAAAACATGCCCGGGTACGACGAGCGTAGCTGGAGGGACAACGCACTCGCACGCACGCACACGCACACGCACGCACGCACGCACGCACACACACACGCACACACGCACGCACGCACGCACGCACACACACACACGCACGCACGCACGCACACGCACACACACACACACACACACACACACACCGGCAGAGGTAGCAACAGCAGAAAAACTAGGCATCCCACTCGGGGGCGACAAGCAGTGGACAGTTTTTTGCACGGAGACCGACT